AACAAGAGATAGAGGACATTCTATAAAATTCCCTATCTATTTGATGAGAGGACAAAGGCTAGACTGAATCCCAGGTTAAATGGCAAGAAAATGTCTTAGTCATTACCCTAGGTCCGGGATGGCAAACCTGTGGCCACAGGTGGTACGCGGAGCCATTTTTTCAGGGTAAGTGAGGCATTGCCCTGTCAGCTGGCCAGTGCACATGCGCGTGCTGGCAAGCTGAGTTCAGCCTTTTTAAAAGCCATTTTTCACCCTCCCTAGGCTCCAGAGGCTTTTTAGGAGCCTGGGGAGGATGAAAACAGCCTTCCCCGTCCCCCTGGAGGCCCTCCAGAGGCTTCAGGAGCTTCCCTGAAGCCTCCGGAAGACAAAAAACCGGCCCTACGGGCAAACCGAAAGTTTGGGAACGGACTTCTGGTTTGCTCGTAGGTCTGGTTTTTTTGCATTCCGGAGCCTCCAAAGGTCTTCCGGAGGCTTCCCTGAAGGCTCAGGAGGATGAAAAATGACCCTACAAGCAAACCGGGGGGGCGGGAACTGTTTTCGCCCTCCCCAGGCTCCTATAAAGCCTCTGGAGCCTGGGGAGGGTGACAAAAGCATGCAAAAAATGGGGGGAGTGCCTGTCATGCACGCATGCACACTGGGGGGGGTTGTGCATTGCATTATGGGTGTGGCACACCCGCGCACGAACTCCCTGTGCTTCCCCCGCTTATGACGCGCGAGCCAAAAAAGGTTCGCCATCGCTGCCCTAGGTCCATCCCAGGTCCAGTGAAGACTCCCTAAATGCGAGTGATTGTGCTAACTATCAGTACAGCTACGTGGGAGTAGGGGACGAAAATATGAAAATGCTCCACTTTGAAATAGACCCAAACATACTCAAATCGGATCTCAACTGGTAGTCTAGGAATCACTTCTGCTGAGATGTCCTGGAGGATTCGCCCAGTTTGTCCAATAGAGAGAGGCAATTACTCCAGAGTAAAAACAATGCTAACGTGTTTATGTGGTTCATGTCCACAGAGGATAAACTCAGTGAAGCCATAAACTCTTGGGCCCTATCATATGGAAGAGCATACTGTCTGCCACTAAGAAAAAGCTCAGGAGTGCTGACAGTCTCTTGACAAGTGTCATTAATTTTGTAATGTTGTATGTTTACTCAACAGGGAGGAAGTCTAAAAGGCCATTAACTTGGTTTAAGCAAGGTCCAAATTGCCCCCATTAAAAATCAAATTCCCCCCCCCCGCCCGTGTGGTCCCCACATTGGGAACCACTGCTTTACACTTAGTTTTAGCAAAACGTTTGCATTTAAATGTTCTACAATAAATATATTGGTTCCTTATTTCATCTCCCCCCACTCCCCCAGGAACTGTTTATTTAATATCAGCCCTGACTAACGCAGATTGTTCCAGTGTGCTGCTGACTGTTTCTGCTCAGGATGGTGGGGGTCTTCGGTCTGATGTTGATGCGGATGTAACTGTGAAGATCTTTCAACCTGCTGTGGCTCCTGTTGTCTTTGAGGAGTCATCTTACAGCTTTTCCATCCCTGAACATGCCCCTGAAGGAACTTCTGTTGGAACAGTGAAAGCAAGAAAGCCTTTGAGTAAGTGTCCTTGAGGTCCATTCCAGCCAGAGGTGGGTTCCTACCAGTTCGCACCTATTCGGTAGAACCGGTTCGTCAAATCTACC